ACATGAAATTTTTAGTGCGAGTAAATTTCTGGTATATGTAAATTTCTGGTATACGTAAAAATCTGGTACTAGTATGAACCTAGTACGTGTTAATTCCTGGTACATGTAAATATATGGTTAAAGTAAATTTCTGGTACAAGTTTTCTGGTACATCTTAATACCTGGTTCGAGTTAATTTCTGGTACAAGTAAATATTTGGTACAGGTACATTTTTGGTTCGAATAAATTTCTGCTACATTGGAAATTTCTGGTACCATGAAAAATTTGATACTAGTTAATTTCTGGTACATGTAAATATCTGGTACGAATTAATTTCTTGTACAATTAAATGCCTGGTACGAGTAAATTTTTGGTACATGTTAATTTTTAATACTTGTAAATTTTTAATTATAATTAAATTTTTTTACACATATTGTATGTTAATAATAAAAAAATCGTTAAAGAACACATTAAATAAATTATTATTTATATCTTAGATTTTTTATTAATTTTTGAAAATTGCAAATCTTTTCAATTGACAATATAATTAAATTAATTTAAAAAATAGCAAATTTTACAATTTATCGTTTCTGTAATATAATGAAAAGAATTTTAATCGGAAATAAATTAAGGAAATTGAACGCTTTCTTCGTGCGTGTCTACAGTGAACAATTCCATTAAACGATTCCTTTGTCTCTCTTCGTGAAGCGAAATGCAAATTATATTCCCGCTTGACATGCACTTCATTTTATTTGCAGAAAAAAAAAGATGAAGAAGAAAAAGATTTGCAATTGGAGCAAAATTTCTCCTAATTTATCATCTCTTTTACTGTATATATGTTAATTAACAGTTTGCTTCACTTTTATTTTAATTACAATAATAATATTTTTCACTTTAATTAATTATTTATTTATAATCCTTGAATATAGAATAAAAATTTTCTGTTGTACCAGAAAATAATTGTAAACAAAAATATTGTATGCACATGAAATTTATCTGTATCAGTAAAGAATAAATCAGAACTTTATCTTCACAAGAAATTTGAATGTAACAGAAATTCTAATGTACCAAAATTTTATCTGTACCACAAATTTAACTATATCGGAAATTTACCTGTACCAGAAATTATAATATATATTAGAAATTTATCTGTACTAGAAATTTAACTGTAACCAGATACTTGTCTATACAAAACAATGTATCTATACCAGAAATTTATTTGTACCAGAAATGCATCTGTACCAGAAACTTACTTGTACCAGAAACTTAATAATACACCAGAAATACATTTACAAAAGAAATGTATTTGTACCAGAAACTTAATAATACACCAGAAATACATTTACAAAAGAAATGTATTTGTACCAGAAACTTTTTTCTCGTAGAAGTAAATCTGCACCAGAAATATATTGGTACCAGAAATTTATCTGTACCAGAAACTTACCTATAGCAGAAACTTACCTAGACCAAAAAATTTTTTTTTCCTTGAAATATATTTGTACCAGAAACTTTACTTGTACCAGAAACTTAATAATATACCAGAAATATATCTATACCAGAAATGTATCTGTACCAGAAACTTAATAATATACCAGAAATACATCTACAAAAGAAATGTATTTGTACCAGAAACTTTTTTCTCCTAGAAGTATATCTGTACGAGAAATATATTGGTACCAGAAATTTATCTGTACCAGAAACTTACCTATACCAAAAATTTATTTTTGCTTGAAATATATTTGTACCAGAAACTTTACTTGTACCAGAAACTTAATATACCAGAAATGTATCTGTACCAGAAACTTACCTATACCAAAAATTTATTTTTGCTTGAAATATATTTGTACCAGAAACTTTACTTGTACCAGAAACTTAATATACCAGAAATGTATCTGTACCAGAAACTTACCTATACCAAAAATTTATTTTTGCTTGAAATATATTTGTACCAGAAACTTTACTTGTACCAGAAACTTAATATACCAGAAATGTATCTGTACCAGAAACTTACCTATACCAAAAAATTTTTTTTCCTTGAAATATATTTGTACCAGAAACTTTACTTGTACCAGAAACTTAATAATATACCAGAAATATATCTATACCAGAAATTTATCTGTACCAGAAACTTACCTATACCAAAAATTTATTTTTGCTTGAAATATATTTGTACCAGAAACTTTAATTGTACCAGAAACTTAATATACCAGAAATGTATCTGTACCAGAAACTTACCTATACCAAAAATTTATTTTTGCTTGAAATATATTTGTACCAGAAACTTTACTTGTACCAGAAACTTAATATACCAGAAATGTATCTGTACCCGAAACTTACCTATACCAAAAATTTATTTTTGCTTGAAATATATTTGTACCAGAAACTTTACTTGTACCAGAAACTTAATATACCAGAAATGTATCTGTACCAGAAACTTACCTATACCAAAAATTTATTTTTGCTTGAAATATATTTGTACCAGAAACTTTACTTGTACCAGAAACTTAATATACCAGAAATGTATCTGTACCAGAAACTTACCTATACCAAAAATTTTTTTTTCCTTGAAATATATTTGGACCAGAAACTTTACTTGTACCAGAAACTTAATAATATACCAGAAATATATCTATACCAGAAATGTATCTGTACCAGAAACTTTTTTCTCCTAGAAATATATCTGTACCAGAAATTCATTTGCACCAGAAATCTATCTGTACCAGAAATTTATTTTTCTTAGAAATATACCTGTACCAGAAATTTATCTATATTAGAAATGTATCTACCAAAAACTTATCTATTCCCAAAATTTGTCTATACCGAAAATATTTACATATTTTTCGTGTACCAGAAATTTAACTATATTCATAAAATTTTGTAAAAAAATTTTTTTTTTGATAATACTTCTTTCTGGTATAGAAAAATTATGAAATTTTTTTTTTTTTTTTTATATTATAAAAAAATATTGTCAAGTAGAGAGTTGATTTTTTTTCTCAATGGGGTAACGTAAAACCTGATCGGGGCCTATTCATCGTTGCGTGACCCACCTTTCGTTTCACAGGAAGGGGTCTCAACCCCTTGAAAAAAATTTTTTTTTTCTTTCCTACTAAACAAAAGACCTGAGCGTTCAACTACTGGTCAGTTTTGTTATTGCTGTGAACAAAGTGACATGTCTAATGGAAAATTCTCTAAGATTCAAATTTATTAGTGTTAAAAATTAATAAACTTTTTGTGTTAACTATTTTTTTTTTAAACAAATTATTATTATAAATTTCTAATTACTGTTACATTACATAAATTTTTTATGTAATATTATGATAATTTAATTTATAATTATAAATTAATTTAATTAAAAATTAAAATTAATAATAATAATAATAAAAAAATAATAATAATAAAAATTAATATTAATAAAAATAATAATAATATTAATGACAATAATAATAACTATAGTGTTAATTACAAATAAATAATAATTTTCGAACAATAAATACTAATTGTTAATTACAAGCAACAATTGGTTAATATTTTTAATAATACGAAACATTAAAATAATAAAAAAAAAATGGAAATTAATATTATAATACAAATTTAAAATCAAGAGAAAAAAAGTGTTTTAAATAAAAAATTTTAATTTATTTAATAAATTTTTGTTTTTTTTTTAAATAAGTCCAAAAATAAAATAGCAAAAAAAATAAATATTAAAAATAAAAAAGTTTGTGCGTATTTTATTTTCTCAAAATATTACCATAGGTAAGTTTTCTTTTATTTAATAAAAATCTTCAAAAAAAAAAAAAAATTGTTAATTTAAATAATTTAATTAATAACCATTAAAATTCAAATTGTTTTTGTAATTTTTAAAATAGTTTAATTTAATTTTTAAATTTAATTAAAGTTAATTAAATTTTTTTCAATATAATAAAACAAAAAAAAAAAAAAAAAAAAAAGAAATTATTCTTAAAACAATTTCTAAAAGTAATTATTGGAAAAAGAATTATATAAAAAAAAAATTGCATAAAAATTAAATTTGTCATTTCAAAATTGAAATGTTAAAAAAAGTGTTGGGGAATTTTTCTTTTTTTTTTTCTTTTTAAATTACAAGAAATGACGATATTTAAAAAAGTAATACTATAAAAGAGATATACATTTTGCGCTTTTGTGCAGAGTAATAAAATATTATAATTTTCTAAAATTTGAATTTAGTTCAAGGCGAGGTTAGTGGGAAGATTTTTTTCTTTTATTCTTTTTATTTAAAATTAAATACAATTCATGTTCGGTGATCCAGTTTTATAAGTAAAATTTAAAATATATATATAATAACAAATGATAATAATAATAATAAAAAAAAATAATAATGAAAATAATTAAAAAATTGTAAATTAAAAATAAATTGAAATAAATAAAATTTATTTTAATAAATATTCATAGAAATAGAAAAAATTCAAATGAAAATTTAATAAATAATTATAATAAAATTAATACTAAAAAAAATAGATGGAAAATAATAAATAAATAAACAAATAAAAATTTAAAAATTGTCATTTTTTGTAATTTTGTAAACATTAATTAGCATTACTTAATTATTTAACATTAATTAATTAATTAATTGTAAACATTAATTAAATAATTATAAACATTAATTAATTAATTATAAACATTAATTAATTTTTTTTATAATAAAAAAAATATCAATAAAAAATTTAATATTTTATCATAAGCTAAAAAAATAGGATACAAAAAAAAATCAAAAAATTTTTATATATATACACAAAAATATATAAATTTTTTATAATTTTTTTTTTCTAAATTATTTTTTCTATACATATAATTAAATACACAAAAAGCATTCATGCAAAACAGAAAAAAAATAAATTTAATTAATAACTATAACTACATGTCCATCCCTTTTTTTTATATCTATCATTTCTTGTTTGTTTGTTTGTTTGTTTATTTGTTATTGTTGTTTTTGTTAATTCAGACTAAACAATGAAAAAAAAAAAAAATTATCAATATTTACATACGCTCAATTTTTGCTTTTTTCTTTGAACGCTTTGGTTCCTTGGTTTCTTTTTTCTTTTTTCGTCCCTCTGGAAAATAGAAATAAAAAAGCTCGTAACACCACAAGCAAAAAAGGGAAGCCGAAATTTTTTTTTTTTTACTTTCATAAATATAAAATAAAAAAAAAATGGAAAAGAAAAAATTAATTTTTTCTATTAAATAAAAATTATAAAAAATAATAATAATTTTTTTTAACAAACTGAAAATATTACCAACTGTTAACATTACTTAATGTTAACTTTATCAAATGTTAACGTTAACAAATGTTGAGGTTATTAAATGTTAACATTAGTAACTGTTAACATTATTCAATGTTGAAGTTACCAAAAATGTTATCAACTGTTAACATTACCAAAATGTTAACGTTACTAAACTTTAACATTACCAACAGTCAACGTTAGTAAATGTTAATTTTACCAAGTATTAACATCATTCAATGTAACACTATCTAATGTTAACGTTAACATAAGTTACTAACGGTTAACATTATCAACTGTTAACATTACTAAATGTTAACTTTTCTAAATAATAATAGTACCAAATGTTAACACTACCTAATGTTAACGTTACTAAATGTTTACAGCAGCAAATGTTAACGTCACTTATTGTTAACATTACTAAATGTTAACGTTACCAAATGTTATATTTATCAACTGTTAACAATACAAAATTTTAATTTTATCAACTGTTAACAATACAAAATGTTAACGTTACTAGCAGTAAACGTTACTAAATAAAATGTTACTGAATGTTAACGTTACCAAATGTTACTAACTTTTAACTTTACGTGGTGCTAATGTTACTAACTGTTAATGTTACTAAATGTCAACAATACCAAATGTTAACGTTACTAATTGTTAACATTACTAACTGTCAACGTTACTAAATGTTAATAGTACCAAATGTTATCGTTACTAAATGTTAACAGTACCAAATGTTAAAGTTACTTAATGTTAACAGTACCAAAAGTTAACGTTACTATATGTTAACAGTACTAAATGTTAACGTTACTAAATGTTAACAGTACCAAATGTTAACGTTACTATATGTTAACAGTGCCAAATGTTAAAGTTACTTAATGTTAACAGTACCAAAAGTTAACTTTACTATATGTTAACAGTACTAAATGTTAACGTTACTAAATGTTAACAGTACCAAATGTTAACGTTACTATATGTTAACAGTGCCAAATGTTAAAGTTACTTAATGTTAACAGTACCAAAAGTTAACGTTACTATATGTTAACAGTACTAAATGTTAACGTTACTAAATGTTAACAGTACCAAATGTTAACGTTACTATATGTTAACAGTGCCAAATGTTAAAGTTACTTAATGTTAACAGTACCAAAAGTTAACTTTACTATATGTTAACAGTACTAAATGTTAACGTTACTAAATGTTAACAGTACCAAATGTTAACGTTACTATATGTTAACAGTGCCAAATGTTAAAGTTACTTAATGTTAACAGTACCAAAAGTTAACGTTACTATATGTTAACAGTACCAAATGTTAATGTTACTATATGTTAACAGTACTAAATGTTAACGTTACTAATTGTAAAACATTACGAATTGTCAACGTTACCAAATGTTAACTTTTCCAGCTGTTAACATTACTAACTGAAAATATTACTAAATATGACGTTACTAACTGTCAACGTTACTAAATGTTAACTTTATCAACTGTCAACGTTACAAAATTAAGTTAGTAAAAAAAAAAATTGTCACACCATTAATTTTTTTTAAATAAATTATAAATATATATATATTTTTTTTTAAATAAATCGCTACTAATTATCTTGAGAGAAAAATGTGTAAAACTAAAAAAATAAATATAATTTTTTATTTTCTTATAGTTTTATTGTAAATTTTTTAAGAAAACAAAATTTTTTTATTTTTTTATTTTTTTATTTTCACGTGTGATCGAAATACAAACACAAATCATGCAAATTTTATTTTCAAGTTTCTTGAATTTGTTGAGGAATAAAATTATCAAGTTTTAAAAATATACCAACATAGGAACGAGACAAGTTTGAAAAAAAAGAAAAAAGAGAAATAAAAAAAAAATGTGAATTGCATTGAACTGGAAAATTCTAAAATTTAGGTTTTACTCTCCCTCTCTCTCTCTCTCTTTTTTTTTTTTTTTTTTTTTTTAATAGATTTTACCTTTTTTTTTTTTTTTTTGCTTTAAAAAAATTTTTTTTTTCCCCCCCCAATTCATTTATTTATTCATGCAATATTCACAAAATTCATTTACCGCTTCATTTAAAGCTGAAAAATAAAAATAATAATAAAAAAGAAAAAAAAATGGCAATAATATAAAGCGGAGAGAAATTCAAAAGCTAAGCAATTATGAGAACTCGAGTAATGTTGAAAATTTTATTATAAAAAAAAAAAAAAAAAAAAAAAAAAAAAAAAAAAAAAAAAAAAAAAAAAAAAAATACTGCAAAAAAATGTTAAATTTTACATAACATCTAATTAGTATTGAAAAAAGTGGAATTTAAAAGGGAGAATATCATATTTAATTGACAATTACATTTATCAGAAAAATTTACAAATAAAAAAAAATAGTACCTGCAGATTTTTTTTCTTTTTTGAAAAAAAATTAAAAAAATAAGTTAATTATTACTATTTAATAATTGTTAAACAAAAATAATATTAATAATATAATAATAATAATAATAATAATAATAATAATAATAATAATAATAATAATAATAATAATAATAATAATAATAATAATAATAATAATAATAATAATAATAATAATAATAAAAATAAAAATAATAATAATAATAATAATAATACTAAAAATAATATTTATTATTTTAATATATTATATTTATTATTTTTTATTTTTTAATTAATACAAATAATTATTAATTAAATTTTGTTAATTTCAATTGCAAATAATAAAAATTAAAACTTTTTTTGCACTTACTTTTTAATAAATAATTTAAATAATTTATTCATTAAATGAAAATTAATTATAAAAATTAATTAATTTTTTTTAAATAAAATTAATTTAAATATAGAGGTAATTTGTTATTTTAATTATTAATTTTAATTTTCATTATTAATTTAAAAAAAAATTTTAATTAATAAATAAAAATTTTCAATTATTAATTTAGAAAAAAAATTTAATTAGTAAATAAACAATTTTCTATTTTATTTTTAATTATTAATAAAATGTAATAATGAATTAAAAACATATATATATAAAAAAAAAATATAGTGTGTGTGAAAAAAAAGTGAAAGAAAACAATTTTCATAAAGGGAAATTGAATATATGCAAATGTACTTGAAGAAAAATATTATCTGAAAGCAACTGGTTTAATGAGCTCCACACAGTAATTAAACCTTTTTTTTATATTCGAGAGTAGTGCATCAATTTTTTTTTTTTATTTTTTTTTTTTTTTTTTTTTTTTTTTTTTTTTTTTTTTAATTTTATTTATTGGCGAAACTTTTCTTTACCTCTATTTTATATATATATATAACATGGAAAATAATATTTAGTTTCAATTACTATATAGAATGTCCCTGAAGTCACGGTGTCTAATTAGTAATTTGATAGTAATATATATCATATTTATATACTAGTAGTATATTATTATTGAAGAAGATCTTTTTTCAATTTCTTTTGAGTGAAGCGGTTAAAATGACTGAAAGTAAAAATAAAAGATGAAAAAATAGAAAAAAAAAAAATAAAAAATACAAACTTGATCAATTTTACTTTTACATATTCAATATTTATTACTTTCAATTTTTCAAATACTTTCTAAACATTTGTTACTTTATTTTTTTTCAAATTTGTTCATTTTTTCTTAAATTTTCGAAAATTTTCAATTTTTGCACATTCTGGAATTTTCAATTTTTTTTTTTGAACTTTCTAGGATCTTCTAATTTTTTTCAAATTAATATTTCTGTATTATTTTTTTGGAAAAATTTTTATTTTTGTACAAATTAATTGTTTTTTATTTTTCAATAATTCAACATACCAGAATGTACGTTTTTTTTTTTTTTTTTTTTAATAATTGAACATTCCAGAATGTTCGTTTTTTTTAATAATTGAACATTCCAGAATATTCCATTTTCTCACTATTCAATATTCCAAAATATTTCAATAAAAGAAAAGAAAAAAAAAAATTTTTTTTCTAAATTTAAGTACAAATTTTTATCATGTAAAATTATAAAATTTTACATTGTAAAAAAGTATCATACTAAAATATACAATACGTATATATATATGTAAATAATATATATGAAAGTACGAAAAGTATTTCAATGTTTGTAAGTCTAGGCCAAGTGATAATAATAAGAATAATAGTCGCTTTCTTTGACACGCACGTCAAAGTAAAGTTATTGTGGTCACGAGTCGTTGATCTCCAATTGAAACAAATTTCCGTAAATTACAATTGATGAGTCCAACATATGTGTATATGTATATCTATATATGTACATTCATATATCACACATAAAGCATAATAATCTGTCAATATAGAAAGGCTAGAATCAAATTTAATAAACTCACAATTATAATTATTTTTATCAAAAAGGAAGTGTGAGATTTATTAACAGCAAAGACATTTAACTCCAGTGAATTATACAAACAGTAAATGTTACCAACTAGTAACGTTATTAACTAGTAACGTTACCAACTAGTAACGTTATTAACTAGTAACGTTACCAACTAGTAACGTTATTAACTAGTGACGTTACCAACTAGTAACGTTATTAACTATACCGATACCAAATAGGAAAGTTACTAACCAGTAACGTTACTAACTAGAAACGTTACTAACTAGTAACGTTCCCGACTAGTAAGTTCCCAACTAGTAACGTTCACAACTAGTAACGTTAATAATTAGGTAACATTACAAACTAGGAACGTTACCAACTAGGAACGTTACCAACTAGGAACGTTACCAACTAGGAACGTTACGAACTAAGAACGTTACCATCTAGTAACGTTACCAACTAGTAACGTTATTAACTAGCAACGTTACCAACTAGTACCAATACCAAC